AGGAGGGGGAGGAGGAGGAGGAGGAGGGAGGGAGGAGGAGGAGGAGAAGGACTTCCCCGTCTTCCTTTCTCCCCGTCCTGCCCATGGTAGTGGTGGTGGAAGACCGGCCCATCAGGTGAGCCTGGCCCGTTCCGGAGGTGGGGAGCACGCGGGGCAGCAGCGCGACACCGCTCGCAAGGACCTCGGAGGGCGTCGGCCGCGTGCCCACGCCGAGGCCCTCCGGTCTCTGCGCCTTCCTGGCCATACCAGGGAGGTCGGCTCGCCCATCTTCAGAGGAGGACGAGGTACCGATGTCGCTACGCTTGCTTCGTTGTCGCCTTTCTGGGGGCCGCTTGGGAGGCCCTCGTCGCCGCGGCTGGATTCGCCTCGAGACTCTGGTCAGAGCGCACCCCAGAAGAGGTCCAGGGAGTAGCGATATTGGTACCTTTTCGTCCGCCCTCCTCCCCCTCACACACACACAGACACACAAACACACACACACACACACACACACATGTGCCGATGTTTCTAGATGTCGCTCCGCGCCGCCAGACGCCGCGGAGTCGGCCGTGTCATCAGCTCGGGCTGACCCGCGCCGATGAATTTGAGTTGCCGCTGGACTCGGCTCCCCCCCCCACGCTCCCTCGTGCCCCTGTCCTCGCCCTCGGCCTCGTCGTCATCGTTCCTCTCCCCCCCCCCCCCCACACTGTCGTGGGAGGATCTGAAACCGTCTCCCTTTGTTTACACATCATTAATCGGAGCGTCCGCGCTGTCGTTGCAGACTTCGGCCCCCAGCAGCTCCACCACCGCCACCACTTCCTCCATATTTTTGTTTTTCTCCCGACATCCTGCAAACCGATTGTTTTTTCACAACGTGGCTCCCCATAGGTATGGACCCTTTGCAGGGAACACTTGTTGTCGTCCTGTGCCGAAGCCGCCGAAAATTTTCTGTCGTGAGTGTTCCACGACGCGCGGATGTCCACGCTCACCTCCCTCCCCCTCCCCCACACGTTGCATCTCAGCCGAGCCTCCATGCCTTAAAGCCTGGACGGCTTGCTTCACCGCGCCTAGGGTTGCGCCCGACGCGCGGTGAATTATCCGGCGCGCATGTCGTGGGCCCACGAAATTCTGCACCACCATCGCCTGCAATCAGCGACATACGCGGAAGTTGTTACCCTGCACGTTCTGAGGGCCCCCATCACATCTCATGGTTTCTCAGTCCTGTATAACATCCTCGGCGGAATAATTACAGGAGGCTCGCGCCGCGTCGACACGGCGGGGATCCAGGCGCGGGCGTTCAAGGATGTCCGCCAGTGGCCCGGAACCGTCTGATATCGGACGATCGTGCGTGATCGGACCACCGCGATCGCTGGAGGTTCAGCGGTCCACGCGGTGTCAGAAAGCAGCAGCAAGCGCGCAAGTCATCACGACTCGAGGTCGCCGTACCACTGTGCCTTGTGATTGATGTGTGCCTTTTGCGTTCGGAAGAAGTCCTTCGTTTTCGCTGGTGTTCTCTGTCTTCGGTCGCGACTGTACCCAAGGCACGCCAGTTCCGACGGGGCGGCACTTCCAAATCGCAGCTTACGGGGTGAAGAGGGTGGGGGCGGGGTGCAGGCGGGCGTCAGTGGTGTAGATTTCTGGGCCCCATGGCGTATGCCAATCGTTTTTTGTTCCCACACATTCTTTTTGTTCCCTCATTCTTCTGGCCCACCTCCTCTCGCGAGAGGTCCGGTGCACACCGTCATAGCGATGCAGGGCTAGTCGGGTCAACAAACTGGTGGTGGTGGGGGTGGTGCGTCAGGCAGTTCGCAACCTGCCAATTTGCCAAATGTAACTCTTCGGCAGCATGTTGCCGTTGCTGGTGGTCGTCTGCGCGTGCGCACGGGAAAAGGATACCCTCTCGATCTCGTCTCCGTCGAGCCCCTTCCTCCTGCTCCCTTCCATTTCTCCCTTGGAAGCAGAAAACCACAGCCCGCGCAAGCTGCGCTGCCGCCCCACGGTTTCTTTCTCGGGGTTGGAGGACAGAGGAGGCTTTGAGGGCACTTTGCACACATCAGCCGCGCCTCGACGGCGCAGTGGCGAAAAGAAAGGCAAGTCAATACATGCTCGTGGATGGAGAATGCCGGGGACAGTGCATGGAGGACGTTGGCGAGTCTCCAGGGCAGAGAGCACCGAACCCGGTGCTTCGCGAGGGTGGGCGGCAAGGCTCCTTAAAAAGAGGAGGAGGGTAAGAGAGGGTGGGGAGCGGACGAGGAGATTGTGGGGGAGGGTTGAGGCCCTTTTGGGGGGGGGGGGGGGCCTCTGGAGGCCTGTTGGCGGGGAGGTCCCGAGGCTTCTGGGGATTTGTTTTGGGGGGCGTAGAGAGACCTCTGGGAGTTGGCCCCGTCGCTCTCCCCCTCGGTTGCGACGTTGACGAGCGTGGTGCAGGTCAGGGCTGGACCTAAACGCTGTGTTGCTGGACTTCGGTTGTGTGTTGGTTTCCGCTTTGGCAGGGAAGGTACAGGAGAACAGACAGATCAAAACGAACAACAACACGAAAAAAAGCGTTTGGGTCCAGCCCTGGTACAGATGGTGCTGGCCTATCTTGACCAGCACGCGGAGTGGAACTGCTCGTCCTCGACAGCGGTGGCCGCGCGGGCGCGACCCTCTCCTCCTCCTCGTCCTGCTCCTCCTCCTCCTCCTCATCCTCATCCTCTTCCTCCTGATCCTCCTCATCCTCCTCATCCTCCTCCTACTCCTCCTCCTTTTGCACGGTCGATGGCAGAGGACTCCGGCGAGCAGAGCACCCACGGTCGGCGCGCGGCGTGAGCACGTGCTAGGCTGGGGGATGGTACCTCTAAGTCGGGCGTGTCCGTCTACAGGATGGATATTCAAGAATAGTCAAAGCTTAGTCTGGAAGCGATTCTTCTGCCATGTTTGATTACGTTTGGAGTATATGTTGAGTAGGTTTCTTGTTCTTCCAAAATCAGCCCGTAGGGGGACATGTCCGACCTAAGGGTACCTAGTTCTCCGTTGTTTTTAGTTGTTGCAGTTTTTTGAGCAACCTGGGGAACCCTCGAGAGTTCTTGGGTTGGCAGCGTTGTTCCCTCGCTCTGGTAAGGCTGAAGCTCCAGACCGACCGTTTGAGGCTTCGTGTTGGGTTTTTTTCGCCATGGCTTCCCAGATCAGCCAGGCAGCGATGTTGGGTGCGTCCTCGGAAGGGGCGATGTTGGGTGCGTCCTCGGAAGGGGCCTTCGGTGACCTTTTGTGGTTGGGTCTTTGTGCAGGCGGAGGAACTCATGTTCTTGTAGTGCGGTTGGTAACTTTGGGGTAGCGTGTCGCTCCGCCAGTTGTGGCCCACCACGCATCGGTGCGACACGCTATCCACTTCGCGGTGCCGAGGCTTCAACGTTCCGACCTTTTCCGAGCCTCCCGCCTCGCGGAGCGGAGCGACGCGTTGTCCGCCTGCCAGGCGTAGCGTGTCGCCGGCGCCGCCAGGGCGACACGCTATCCCAAAGTTCCCGACCGTATGTCCGTCCGCCCCTGCTCCGACTGCGCAGAGCCGGTCTGGAGCGGCACCCCGAGCCGCTCTCGAGCGGCCTCGGCTGGCGGCTGCCTCGGAAAGCTCCCGGGGGCCGAGCCGCCCGCGTCTCCTTCGGCCCTCCGCGGCCTTCCGTGTGCCAGAGGGGCCGGGTTCGTCGGGCCCCTCGCCTTTTGCGTCGTCGTCCTCGTTCCTCGTCCTCCTTCCTCCTGTTTCTATTCCTCCTCCTCCTCCTCGTCCTTTTTCGTCCTTCCTCCTCCTTCTCCTCCTCCTCCTCCTCCTCCTCCTCCTCCTCCTCCTCCTCCTCCTCCATTCCTGCTCCTTACGAATATTTTACCCCATTCGCACCCCGAGGCCAGTTTTTAGGGCGGGCTGGGCGTTTCGCCTGAAACTTTCTCGCAAAGTATGACCCTGAAGCTTAAAATATTGAGAACCGTTTCACAGATGGAGGGCGGGTCGTTTTCAGAATGTGGCTCTTGCCGTAGCGCCGCACACATTCGTTCCAAACATTTGCAAAATGCGCACGGATTGAAGGCGGGTGGTTTTCAGATGTGGTTCTCGCCTTTGTGCTGCGCACTTTCGTTTCATCAATTTGCAAGAGCTTCACAGATGGAGGACGGGTCGTTTTCAACATGCGGTTTTCGCTCTAGCGCCGCGCACATTCGTTGCAAAGGTTTGCAAGAGTTTCACACATGGAGGGCGGGTCGTTTTCAACACGTGGCTCTCGCCTCGTTGTAGCGCCGCGCACACTCGTCGTAGAAATTCGCACACTCCCATTGTCAACGTACCAGGAACGGTGTGCTGGAGTGTTTCTGGATTACGAGGGCGCAACAGTTACGTTGACGTGCGGTGTTGAAGTTCCAAGAATGGCGTTCTGGCACGGTTCAGGATCGTCAAAACGCAACAGTCAGACTGATCCGTGGCGCTGGAATCCCGGAAACCATGTTTCGACAGGCTTCAGGGTCTTCAATCGGTTGTCTTCCAACGAGGCAGTTCCCTCAGTGGAAATGAACCGTTGTAGGGTCCTGTGAAGAGGGAGCTTGGAGGGAGGATTCATTCCAACATCGTTGATGACTCATGGGTTTACACTGGTCCTCCTCCTCCTCCTCCTCCTCCCCCTCCTGCGTAGCCATTGTGGCTCAAGATGCCAAGTTCCTCAGGGGAACAAGTGGATACCGCTAGTCCGCGGCGGGCAAGACCCCTGGGGTCTGGCAGTGTTTCGCATCGCACCAGCGCTCGGGTCGGTGGGTAAACGGAGGTGTTCCCCGTTCCTGCCTGCTCGAACGGTCAGAGACACTCATGGGCGGAGACCGCAATGGCGGACAGCAGGCCGTCCGTGGTCCCAAGAGGAAGATCAAGAAGGCACGCCGTGGCCAACTCGATGCAGCTGCTCCTCTTGACGACGACGCTGATCATGCTGCTGGGACGAATGTTGGTTCTGACTCTCCTGTCCCTCCTGCTGTCGGGGTTTCCTCCACTGCGGCCCCTGTGGTGGTGGAAGAAGGAGACGAGGACGTCAACACCGAGGATGAATGGACCAAAGACGATTACATCAAGCAGTTGGCTGGGGACTATGTCTCCAAGAAGATGGCCGAGCACAGGGACGAGCTCATCCGCGACCTCACCAAGGTGGTCTCCGCGACGGTATCCGACCAGATCCAGGATTTCGCCGCCCAGCTTACTGAGCACTCTCGCGCTGCTGGGAAGTTGGCTGAAGGCGCTCAACAGCTTCCAGCCATGGCCAAGCAAGCGACCGAGCAGCTCTGCTCCGAGAAGCTGGACGCATTCCACCGCAAGTTCCAAGAGCAGATGGGCGGCCACTCGGTGCGACTTCGATCCGTCGAGCACAGGTTGGATGACCACGACTCCGAGCTGCAGTCGCTTCGGGGACAGACTCAAGAGCTTCGTGATGCTCTCGCAGTTGCCAACATCAAACCCGAGCCTCCCCCCGCCAGCGCTGCAGGCTTGACAGGGACGCCGACGCCACACATACCCGCACCATGGCTTCAAAATTGGTGGACTTGTCGGCCGTGCAACAACCCATGTCGGACTGGATCGTCAGCTGCGGGGTCACGGCCGAGTACTTCACGACCACATCCAGCGAGCAGGTCGCCAAGCCGTTCACGGTCCAATTCGCAGGCGCAGCAGGCCTTGCGGCTCGACGAGTCACTAAGGTTCTGGGCGCCCAGCGGCTTGCCCCTGGCCAGTAGAAACGCTTCGAGGTCACGGCCATGGACAACCAGATGGCGACGCTCCACATCGGCGCGGACAATAACCCCAGACAGATCAAGCTGGACATCCAGGGCCGCAAACTCAGGGGGGCGTTCCAGAACGTGGCCAGCGACAAGAGATGGTTCTTCGATCGCGACACTACCTTATGGCTGGATGGGACCCAGTGCTTCGTCTCGCTCTCCCAACCCTGGGAACACCCCCATCGGAGGTCGCGCGGGCCGACAACATCGCTCAGAGGCTGGCGCTCCCGAAGGATCAGTTGGCCGAGGCGGTCAAGAGCATCATCGCGCCACCCGAGGCTGCTGAGCGGTCTCTTTAAAGGGTTTGATGCAGCTATGCATGGACGATTGGCGCGCCCCCCGTTTTCCTCTTTCTCACCTTGGAATACCCGCGCCCTTCTACAATATAATGGCCATGCTGCTCGCCCGAAGCTCGCCTACCTCAAGCGCCTGAACTTCACCTGCGGCATTGTGGTCCTCCAGGAGATGCATCAGGGCAAGAAGCATCTCATCGACTTTCTCGCCAAGGCTGCACCACGCGCTCGCGACTACACCAGCTACTGCGAGGGGTCTGCAGCACTGGGTGGTATAGCCACTATTATTCCCGCTGATTGCCGCGCTGAGGTTTCTCAGGCGATATCTGGTTCACGGTAGAGTGCTATGAGTAGCGCTACAACTGGATGGCTGCTGCATTTACCATTACAATGTACACAGCCACGACCTGGCCACTGCCCAGCTCAATGGGGCGTCGAAAGCCTTGGCCGCTGATCTGAAGATGGCTCGCCATGGTCCGCTACACCATGTGGTTATTCTCCATGGAGACCTCAATTTTGCTCCTCGTGCTCCTCTTCTTCTTCACCAACCTCATCGCCGACTCGCCCAAGGTAAAGGCCAGCGCGCCAGGGCTGCTCGCTGGGCTACGGCGCCCAAGGCCATGGTGGAAATTTCCTCAGACGAACCCGCACACTACGATCGCCACTCGCTCTCTGTCTCCATATTGGACAGGTTCTGGCGCAGTTGGCCTGGGTGGATCACGACACAGCTTGCTGCTGAGCCGGGGGCGGTGGATTGCCCTGAGCGCCTCGCTGAGACCAATGTCAGCGATCATGTTGCGCACGTTGTGAAGATCACGCAGCGAGCTCTTCGCCCTGCTCATGCTCACCGAATCTCACGGCACCTGAGCGAGAGTGAAGAATTCCAAAAGCAGCTCAATATCGTTTGCGACAAGTTCAACTATGCGGACGAAAGCCCTCCTCGTCAGATCGAACTTCACTAACGGGCAATCCGTGAAGTGGCTGCCGACCTGCGTGATCGTCAATTTCATCAGGCTCCTGAGGCGTTTTCGACTCTCCTGCTACTTGCTCGGCAAATCTCCAGGGTCGTCTGGCGTAACGACCACAAGCTGGCCCACAAGCTCATGATCAACCATACGGCGGCCTACGATTTCTTAGAGATTCAGAACAGCACGGTCCGTCTTCGCCATCCTGCATCTTTTCAACATTGGTGCGATGCGATCCAAAGCCGCCATGCTGATCAACTACGCACTCGACTTGAAGAACGGTTAGCCCGCCCTCGCGCACCACAGGCCATGCGACATCAATTTGCTGCAGTCGAACGGCGCGCGGGCATCTGATCTCTTTTGAATCGCAGAAAGGTCCTTCGCGCCGTTAAGCACCCGTCGGACCCGACGTGCGTCTCCAGCGATTCCGCGACCATGACAGACCGCCTGATCGAGCACCGGGCCCCCATCTTCACAGCCAAGCCGATCGACCTCAGCCGAGCACAAGCCTACATCGAGCAGCACGTCCCGCAATTGGATTTCTCCCAGGTTGAACCCCCGTCACCTGCGCTGCTTCGACGTGTTGCCAACAAGATGCACTACTCCGAACCTGGTCTGGACTCCATCCCTCACTCTGATTGAGCCGCTACTGATACTGGGATACACGTGCTCTCGGACGCCATGGCGTGGATCATGCAGGGCCAATCTCTCTTCGAGAGCTCCAATGGCACGCTTCAAGTCTGGCTTCCCAAGGGTGAAGAGGTTGATAGCCCCTTGGCGTCTGGCTGCGCTCGCTCCCCTAGTGCGGTGAGGGTTCTGGGCCTGCGAAATACTGATATCAAACTTACCACCCCCGCAGTCAACATTCAGTTCAGCAAGCTTCTCATGGACTGGGCGCCTCGCTCGCAGAGGGGCTGCATCCCCAAGAGGAACTTCGGGGTCAACACACTCGAGCTCGACGTCGCCGCCCGAACGTATTCGAACTCTCCAACTGCAAGCTCAGACCTCCCTGCTCCTGTGGCGCTGGACTTCGGCGCGGCCTTCCCGAGCCTGGCGCAGTCCTTCATGCTGATGGTTTTTCAGCAACTGCGGGCCCCCCGCGCTTCCATGGCTATCCTGGAGCAGCTCTATCACATCTTAGACGCCACCGACATGAAGAATGGGATCCCTACCTTCGCTTGGCGCATCTCTTCTGGCATCATTCAAGGCTGCTCACTCAGTGGACCGATCTATGCTGCAGTTACGGCATGTTTTCTCTTCGATATTCAGGGGCAGATGGAAGGTTCGCGATCCGGTCTTGCCCGCGCATGCGCCGACGACATCGGTGGCGTGGTCAAACAACTTCAGACTCTACGCATCCTCACTGACGTGATGCAGACCGCGGGGAAGGTCGCCACGCTTGCGCTCAAGCTCACCAAGCGCCTGCTCGCGCCGCTCCACGCGCCGAGCACTGAGCAGCTGGCCGCCTTCATGCGCGACTCGATCCGTGATGTCGCCCCCTTCGTTGCCAACATCCAGGTGGTAAGCTCCCTGATTTATCGCGGTCTGGTTATGGGCCCTGCGGCGGATGAGAGCTCGCGCTGGCCGGCGCCACCTATCAAAGTCAAATTGGGATCAAGATTTGTTGGTGGGAGTCCTCTAGCGGTTTCGCGGCTGGCGGTCAACTATACTACCAGAATTGCGCGTGTGCCCTCATGCGTTGCGCAGTTCCGCACGATGCCTCGGTGGCCCCCCCGCGAGGAGTTGGTCGCCCCCTCCAAGACATACAGGACCCCCCTCGGCACCTTCAACAGCACGGCCTGGCTTCAACTACGCGGCGCTGGTGATCCACCCGCCCCCTCCTGGCTCGCCATGAGCATTGGGGCGCTGGCAAGGACGGCCCGCACTACGCTTCCTGAACTTCAAAGGCTGCATGACTGGATGCACCGCCAACACCTTCGGCTGGGCGATCTTCGCGCGCCCCCCCAAACTGTTGCTGATGCGCGGCGCCCGCACCCACATTTCTGGAAATCTGAAGCTTTCGTGGAGACATTGGCCAGAGTTCGTGACGGCACCGCCTCCAGCGCATCCCCCGATTATTCGCAGGCACACCTTGCCTCAGCCGATGCAGAGGCTGACCGCTGGCAAGCAGAGCAGTCCATGTCGGTGGGTCTACAAAGATGCGTAGCCAGGCTGATCAAGATGCGTCTATGCCCCCATCCAATGTGGAATTTCCTCGAGACGCGACTTATCCTTTGCGTCCCTGAGATGGGCGTGATGGGCGACTCTCTTGTTCCTGCACACCGATGGGAACATTTTATCCAATATCTTCGTGGATGCTCACTGCCATGGGCGTTTGCATACATCAAGACGGTGGCCAATGGCTGGGCGACCTCGCACAGAATATTTCAGCCCCACGGGCGCCTCTCTTGCCGATTTGGCTGTCCGCTCGAACCCGATGCTGTTCACCACTACTTGCAGCGCCAGCCATTCCGCCTCCTTCTGGAGCAAGAACTTGGCTACTCGCGGCCCTCCTCACCACTGGGGCGTCTGGGCCTTCTGGGCTCGGCTGTCGAGCTGGACAAGATCGTGTTTGACATTATGGTGATGTACTACACTTATGTCTGTGCAGCTCACTCGTCAGCCGCCCATGTCTGGCACCGAGAGGCGGCACGCTCATTTGTCAAGGCGGCCATCCGTTCCGCACAGCCAGGTGCGACAGCGTCATCGAGAGCACCCCTGGGAGCAAGGCGTGCTGGACGTGCTCGCCCAGACAAGAGAAATGGGTCTCCCTGCTCTCCCTCATCCTCGCCATCGTCTCCCTCGTCTTCATCTGGGTCGTCCTCCCCGCATTCGTGCGACGCGCCCTGCCCCTCGCCATCGACGCCAACTGCCAACGTCATTGCGGGCGCCTTCGATCTTGCTGGAGAACCATCTTCTTCGCCCACATCCCCGAGGTCATCACCGCCATCCTCCTGTTGCAGACCGTCAGCGCCATCGCCGACTCCCATTGCCACCGCTACGACAGTCTGTGGGGTGCTTCCTGCTTGCTCTGCTACGGTCTATGGAGCTGAAGTTATGATGAGAGGGGAGCGGTTGGATGTCGAGTCTCAAGATGGTGGGGCCTGGCGATCATCTCCCCGATGCCCGTCACCACCGGTTTGCTTTCTGCTGCACCCGCAAAGTATCACGGCTCAAGCTGGGATATCCATCGACTTACCACCCATGATCGCTCTCGCGTTGGGATTTCTCTTTGAGCCTCTGGCCGTGGCCCATGGGGACATTGCCAGCACTTCATATACAACTACGACGGGCACATCGACTCCTTCACTCACGCTTCTGACGCCTTCTACGAGGCGCCCTGAACGCGCTCAGGGGCTGCACGACCATTTCGACGGGCAAGAGCTGGGCAGTGATGGCGAGATTCCGCCTGCGGCAGTGATTCGCGATGAGGACCTTCCTGCGCTCTTTGAACCCTTTATCCCTGCACCCGAGGAGACAGGCCTTCCGCTTGCCGCGCGCCGTCAGGCGCTCTGAGACAGAATTGAGGCGTGGGCCCGTTCGTGGATCCCCTCGCTGCTGGTGAGCATGTTCGGCTCGGACTTCGATCAATGGATGCGCTGGTGCCCTGACTACG